ACATCCAAATGTCTTATAGGCATCTTTACTACAGTATTTAATGTTTTTTTTTTTGCTTAGAATTGAGCAAAGCTCTGTGTAGTTCACAAAATAGTTATCATTAGTATAGAAATATCAAAGGTACAAAACCAAGAGTGATTAATCATGCAAAAATAAATTTTTAATGAAGGACTGCAATAATGAATGTATAAAATTTCAGCTTTAATTACTGGAATATCAATCTAATAAGCTAATAAATTTAATATATTCCTTAGTTTAAAAAACTTTTTGGGGGGAGGGGGAAAGGGAGAGGTGGCACAAACGATGTATACACATGTAAGTAAATGTAAAAATGACAAACTAAAAAGAAAAGAAAAACTTTTGGGATGTGGCAAAAGCAATGCTTAGAGGAAAATTTATAGCACCAGATATATATATATAAAAAGATAAAATTAATAATCTAAAGGCTGGGCATGGTAGTACATACCTGTAATCCCAGCACTCAGGAGACTAAGATAGAAGGATCCTGAGTTGGAGGCCAGCATGGGCTACACAGGGAGAGAAGGAAGAAGAAAGGGAAAGAGAGATGGATGGAGAGCAGAAGGAAAGGAGGAAACAAACTAGAACAAGAAGAGTAAACTAAACATAAAGGAGGAAGAAAAAAATAAAGTAAGTAGAAATAATGAAATTGAAAACAAGAAATCAAGAGAGAAAAATCAATAAAAGCAGAAGCTGGGTTTTCTTAAAGATCAGCCAGTTAATAAGCACCTAGTCATACACATTAAGAAAAAGAGAGAATGCAAATTCCCTAATATCCGAAATGTGGAGGTAGCCCAGGATTAATGGTGCACGTCTGTAAACCCAGTTTCTCCAGAGGAAAAGGAAGGAGGATAGAGAAATTAAGGCTAGACCTGGTAAAGGTAGCAGAGACCTTCTCTCAAAAAAAAAAAAAAAAAATAGGACTGAGGGCATAGTTCAAGTGTTAGAACTCTTGCATACATGCAAACGCACACATCACAAAAGAGTCATCACCACTGAATTCCAGCAATATTATAAGCATAATAAAGGAATATTATGAAGAACTTTATAAACACAAATTTGATAACTTACATGAAATGAACCAATTCCTCCAAAGATTACAATATACCATAACTCACACAAGAAACAGAACTCAATAGGCCTGTATCTACTAACGAGCCTGAATCAATAATAAGCTATCAAAACAGAAAGCATTAGACCCAGATGGTTTCATAGGTAAATTCTAGTAAAATATCAGAGAAACTATGCCATTTCTCTACAGTGTCTTCAGAAAATACAAACAGGAGCATGTCCTGGCTCATTCTATGAACTTAGCATTATCTTCATATCGAAAAGAACAGAAAACATTAAAAGAACGGAAAACTAGCGGGGCACCAAAGGCTCACGCCTGTAATCCTAGCTACTCAGGAGTTAAGAAGGACCAGGAGGATCATGGTTCAAAGCCAGTCCAGGCTGACAGTTTGTGAGACCCTATCTCAGAAAAACACCCATCACAAAAAAGGGCTGGTGGAATAGCTCAAGGGATAGGCCCTGAGTTCAAGCCCCAATACTGCAACAAAAAAAAAAAAAAAAAAAAAAGGAAAATTAAAGACAGGTATATTTCTCATAAATATAGATGCACAAAGCCTCAAACAAAAATAAGCAAATCAAATCCAATATATAAAACGAATTATACACTACAACCAAGTGGATTAACTCCAGGTGTGAAAGTCTGGGTCAATACTAAAGGTTCATCACATCAGCAAGCTACACAAGAAAAATCAGTTATCCCAACAGACCCAGAAAATGCATTTGACAAAATTCAACATGACTTAAAAAAAAAAAAAAAAAAAAAAAAAAAACTCCTTCAAGTGATTTACAAAAAAAATCCACTGCTAACACTGTACTCAGTGGTGAAAATCTGAATGCTTGCCCCCAAGGATCAGGAACAGGACAAGGATATTTATTCTTGTTATTTCTATTCCACCTGTTCCAGAGGCTCCAGGCAAGTAAACTAGGCAAGAAAAAGAAATTAAAAGACAATCAGACGGAAAAAGAAGTAGTAAAATTGCTTCTTCTACAAATGACATAATTTTTTACATAGGAAACATTAAGAAGTCTATGAAAAAATTACTAGAATAAATGAATCCACCAAAGTATTGCATGATATGATTTTGTATATAGGAAGTATTTAGATATCTATTAAGAAACTATTAGAACAAATAAACAAGTTCATCAAAATGTGTAACACAAGATTTGCATACAAAAATCAATTGTATATCTATGCATCAGCAATAAGCACTCTGAAAATAAAATTAAGAAAACAATTCTGCTCACAACACCATCAAAAAGAATACTTAGGAACAGACCTAATCATAGTAGACACAAAAAAGTAGATAAGTGTTTTCTTTAAGGCTGGGGAGAATAGGATGAATGAGGAGTACTGTAAGACTATATAGTGTTTATTTGGGAGGTGGTAAAAAATGTTTTAAAATTGTATTGTATTGCATAACTGAAAATTCTAAAGCAATTGTACATTTTGAACATTGCACATTATGGTGTATGAATTACATCTCAATAAAAAGTAAAAAAATATATATCTCAGTATGTATTTATTAAGACATAATTCACATAACCATAAAAGATATGAAAATATATTTCTTAAAACATGGAAAAAAGACATACTAGCAGACTTCTGCAGCAGTCGGCTGTGCTGGCATGGATGAGGCTGGCATAAGAAGGTAGAAAGAGGTCATAGGAATCTTTGATCTAGATCTCTGAATCTAGATGTGAGGGATGAGGAAGGAGCAGGTATCAAGAATGACTTTGCACTATTTATTTGCTTGTTTCCTCTATTTCTGTCAGAATCCATTCCAACAGGATCACAAAGATGATCTTTGAAAAGTGTCACATTTATAGTAGAAACTACTGAAGAAAGGAAAGTTGGTAAGAGAAAGTTTTTAAGAGGTCATCCCAAGAGATGTGTGCAAAAGGCCTAGACATAGAAAAGAGCTGCAAAAGACCCAGCAAGATGAACGTCCAAGGCTTGATGGTGAAGGCCCTGCAGGCAAAGGGGGACTCATTAGAGGTTTTTAGTAGAGCAATGATTCTTACCCTTGGAAAAATGTGAAGAATAAACTGAGGAGAATGACTGGAAGCCAGGAGACCTATGGAAAAAGACCAGGAGAGACCTCTGCCAGGCAAGGGCTAGTTGCTTTAAAACTATGTAGGACAGACAATGCAAGAACTAGCCACTAGAGAAACCTGATTATGTAACAGGACCCTGCAACAAAGTACAAACACTGAGCCCTGATGACAGGTGCAGCTTGAAATGTTCTGCACCTCCTCACCCACCCCCACCTACCTAAAGGCCTGCAAATGCACTCTGGATCTTCTCTGGCCCACAAGACATCTCATATTCCTTAAATGTTGCTGAGAGAAGCAAATTTTGGACCCGCCTCTATGAGAAACAAAGGCACCAGGAGACTCCTTCACATGCAGCATCCCTGACCTCACACTGTTCTTTGCACTACTTACTGCTGGCTCAATGCTAAAGTAAAGCAAAGCGTAAGTTACAGCCATGCGCACAATGTCACCTTTGCCAGTCCTCAAAGAAGGTTGGGACAGCCTTAAGAAATAAGGCTGTCCTAACCGCTGAAACTCACATTTCAAATAAAATGTAAACTGTCTTCTCTTTTAGTCCAATCATAGCCTAAATGAAAGACTTCGGGCTTTTTTAACAAATTTACTTTGAATGTGCATTCATTAAAGGATACTGAATACAGCACATCTTACCAGATGTTCTTACAATCCCTTCATAGCTAACGTACCAATGGTACATGGAACGCAGCTAAAATTCCAGCACAACCAAGTTTACCCAAAAAACTGGCATTCAGGGCTTTACACGACTTGAGAGCCAATCTGAACTTTCAACTGAATTTTCACAAATATGCTGTCATGTTGACCACTGCCACACTTGTTTTACGATCGTCTTTTGCCAAATACACCACGTGTCCACTGTCACTGTCTAGCATAATAAGCAAGTAGAAATAAAATAACTCAGCATACTCTTGAGCACCTATCATGGGCTAGATATTTAGTGGGCAGTGTACATTAACGATCTCATCTAATCTTCACAGCAACCCTGCAGGTTGGTATTACTTTTCTTATTTTACACATTGAGATGGTGGAGACACAGAACAATGTGTCCAAGAACCCTCACCATCTATTGCCTTATTAAAGAATGCCTTGAAGCCAAATACGGTGGTGCACGCCTGTAATCCCAGCACTGGAAAGGCTGAGGCAGGAGAATCTCAAATTCCAGTCTGGGGGTTAAATGGTGAGACCCTGCCTTCCCTCCTCTGCACCCCCCCCACCACCCCCCCCAAAAAAAAAAAAGAAAATGAAAGCCATGGCGGAAAGTCTCCAGGTATTCCAGAGCTGTGTTCTCAAAAAGCCTTTAAAGTTAGCATCACCGACCTTTTTCACTAATGAGCCTCTTAAAGCCAGTAATCATGACTTACTCATTTCCCACTTTCTGCCAGAATTAAATGGTTGGTCCTGTTCTGGTCTGGGAAATACGCTATCCCGTCCTCAGGACACTTTCGGGTATCCCAACACTGCAACTGTAGGAACTGAGCTTCAACGGAGTTCCCTCCGCATCCTACCCTCTTTCATTGCTTCCCACCCTCTGTACTGTCTCGCTAATGTATGTCTCCTCCCAATATAGAGAGCTCAAGGGCAACATCAATATCATCCTCCTCATTTGCCACTGAGCTTAGCAAGACCAAAAGTGCTCCAAACTTTTTAACTCAAGTGGAACATCCCACCCCTCCCCCCCCAAAAAAAAAAACTTTCTCAAATAAAGTGGACAAGGGCGAACATTGCTTCAAATTTAAGATTCTTCAGAACGATAAAAGGCACTGTCACCGCAGCTTTTACAACTCCACCACTGGTACCCGAGCTGACAGCCAGAGCAAAACCTGGGAGGAAAGAGGAAATACCCAGCGTGTTGACCTTGGCTCTCCCAGGGAGGTCCTCAGCGCTGAATGGGGCCACTGTACAGGAAAGCCGCTCGCAGTACAGCCCGGGTGCTACCAGCAACGGGCAGATGCACAACGAAAGAGCCACGCCGGATGGGGTGGGGGCGGGGAGGGGTCTGGCTGGCGAGCCCGCCCGGCCTCTCTGCTGGTCCCGAGGCTGTGCTGGAGCCGTCGGCCCGCGCCGCTCACCTCGGTTCTCCTCCTCCAGGTGCCGCACCCGCAGCTCGTCCTCCGTCTTCACCTCTGAGCCGTAGCCCCTCCTCGGGGCAGGAACCCCGGCCGCGGGTGCCCAACCTGGTGGGCCCACCCGCCGGGCTGCCCACAAGCCGGATAGCCTCCACCCTGGGCCCAGCCGCGCGCAGCAAGCAGCCACCAGGCGACCGCGGCCGGCCTGCAGGGCGCCCAAAGCCCCGGGTGCCGCCGCCATGTTGTCTGTTTACAGCGTGGGGCCCGCCGTGGCTGCCGCCGACGCCCCGCCCCCGCCCGCGGTGCGCGCACGCGCACGGCGCCACGTCCGGCAGCCTGGCCCCGCCCACACAGCGTCGCTTTCCTCCCCCCTCCCACCCCCCCCCCCCCCCGCGCGCCAGGCCCCGCCCTTCGCCTCCTGGCCCCGCCCGGGCTCCTTTGATGGAGACTTCTGTGTTGCAGGCAGCTCAGCCGCGGTTCCCTGGAGCTGCTGTAGGGAACGCAGTGTTGTCCCAAAGCTATGGAATAGCACTAACCCACAGAAGTGTGGCTCCTTAGCTCATGCCCTGGGGTCATCGGGTTTAGGTAAGCCGCGAAAGTGCACTAAAATGTCCTGTCATCTCAGGGTGGGCTGAAAAGTGTGGCAGCTTAGTGTCGGGTAGTGCTTTACTCTGTGTCTCAAAGGCACCGGTTATCGGCCTGATAAACTTAAAACTTACTACTGACATGGGAAGCACAAGTAAGAAAGGAGTCCTCCCAGCCCTCCAACTAGCAGGTAGCAAGACTCCTGGAGCCCGGAGTCCTCATACGGGCCAGCCTCAGACCCTTCCTGGAGGCCGGAGGCCTCCAGCCTTACACCCCTCCGAGAGACAGCAGTCCTAGGAAGGGCCAGCCTCAGCTCAAGCCGAGAGGAATTCAGAGCACGTGGCTCCTCCAGAAACTCTCTACTGTCTACGCTTCTTCTCAGATCACACTGTCTTTAAAATGTGCTGCTGTGAGGATGGGTGCCAGTGGCTCACGCCTGTAATCCTAGCTACTCAGGAGGCAGAGATGAGTAGGATCATGGTTCGAAGCCAGGCAGGGCCAATGGTGCCACAAGCTCCTATCTGGAAAAAGCCTTCAAAAAATAGAGCTGGTGGAGTGGCTCAAGGTGAAGGCCCTGAGTTAAAAAAAAATAAAAAATAAATAAATAAATGCTATGAGCACATTCCTACCGGCACCCGGGTTCTGCTACTATGCATGATATTTATGCACAAGTTCCGGCTGTGTTACACCTGCTCAGCTTTCATCCAAAGTAGAAAGAAAAGGTCAGTGGAATTCCACTGCCTCTCCTATAGTGTGCTCTTTATTGTGTCTTTTGTAAAGTGCCACCTGGGAAATTCTTTTGAAGGTTAGGCCAAGAGAAAACTTTTCTTCCTTTGTGTCTTTTTTCTCAAAAAGATGTTCACTTTGACTGCTAAGTGTTGAGATTTTCTATTGGTATGGTTTTTCTAATATGGTTTTGTGGTCTCTGGAGGTGGATAGGAAGTCTGGAAGATGGCAGGGAGGCCAACCAGTAGACAAAGAAGAGAGAGAGAAAAGAAGAAAGCAGTGAGGCTAAAGCCTTTTGAGGGGTCCAGGGTGTTACCCACAGAGAGTGCTAATTGGTGGATTTAGAGCAAGCAGGCAGGAGCCCTGCTGTGAATAACCCGGTCACTGTGACATACCTGGGCAGTCCATTTGGGGTGTGGTGGTCAGTAGGGAGGGTCAAGTAAATTAGATATAGCTATCCCATAGGAGGTGGTCACTAGGAGGGCAGTTTTATCGACCACATTGCGGTGTTGGCAAGAGATGAAGAACTGGAAACTGTCTGAGCCTGCTTCTGGTGTGAGAGAATTAAACTTATCTTCAAAATGGATGCTGAGACAAGAATTCACTACACTAGGAAACTCAAACTTTTTTTTGCTTTTGGTTTTTGTTTTTACATAGGGTCTCACTCCATTGCTGAGGCTGGTCTCAACCTCTGAAGTAGTTGAGTCTCCAGGGCCTTCTTCAGCAGGCCCCATGGAAACTCAAAATTTTATTTCCACCTCTTCAACCACTGCAATTATTGCAACTATTTCATGACCATATTGTTCACTTGTATTGCTGTCTAATTGTTTTATACTTTTATGTTGGCTTATCAATAGATTGTAAATTTAAAACAAAGAGTTCACACAGTGCTGGTCAGAATAATATAACTTTAATAATACTTGTGATTGATTAGGACAACTGCAGAAAATTCATCATAAATTGCTTAGGTTATACAAGAAAACAAAGTAAGAAGGACTGCCCATTGTTTCAATTGACATAGGACCAGAAAGAAAAAGTAAAATCTAGAGGTCCCATCCTCTTCCCAAACATTTGGGACTTTTGTCCTTATTTAAAACAGGCATGCCAACATCCTGGGTCTGTGAAAAAAATTGATTGTTTTGATACTGACTGAACTCTAGGTTTTGCACATACTAAGCACACAGCTTACCATGAGCTCTACCCAGATGTTGGTCCCTAAAAGTTAATGTGCAAATGCCACTAAGACTATTTCAACCTGTCAAATTGACAAGTAATAGAGAACTGTCAAATATCAGGGATTTATTCATTCTAAATCAGACAGACATGGCTTTGCATTCCAGCTTCAGTATTGCTTTATGTTGCCAGGTGCTGGTGGCTGGTGCCTGTAATCCTAGCTACTGAGGAGGCAGAGATCAGGAGGATCACAGTTCAAAGCCAGTCTGGGGAAATAAGTTCACAAGACCTGGTCTCGAAAATACCTAACACAAAAAGGGTTAGTGGAGTGGCTCAAAGTGTAGGCTCTTAGTTCAAGCCCCAGTTCTGCAAAAAAAAAAAAATTGCTTTATGTTGACATATTAGTAAGATATTTAAATACTTCATGTTTCCATTGCTTCATTTACAGGATAACTATTATAATATCTATTTTGCCTCGTGAATTCTTTAACTTTGGCTTCTCCACTTACAAAATGAGGATACTTAGCCTGTTTTATTGGGTTGATTAGATAAGTATGTGACGTGCCCAGTACCAGGAAAGGAAAACAGAATAGATAACATTACCTATGATTTACCAACTTCATTTTTAGTCTATGCCAGTCATTTAGACTTCTTAGTTGATGTTCAGAAAATTTTGAACTTGGCATTATTATTTTGATTTTTATAAATGAGGTTATTTACCAGAACCCACATCCGGGAACCCATGGAGCTGGGATTTAAATCCCAATATTTCTGACCCGAAAGCATTCTTCCTTAATCCCTGTTTTGTAGAGGTTTTGACTAAATAGTAAGGCATCCAATGAAATTTAATTCCTTATGGTTCCTTTCTACTATTTAGTAAAAGATTATCAAGGATGGGATAGGAACAATGTGTATTTTGGTGTTGAAATGTCAAAAGTGGAAAAGCTAAGGTATTCAGAGTGTTACAACCAGTAACCCAATGTGAATCCAAATTTTTATCATCTCTTTGTAAGACTGATTCCATTCAGCTCTTAGCTAACAGATCTGCCCCACCTTTGACATTTTTCTAAGGCTTACTTCTAGGTAATACTAAAGATGTGCAATACAGGATCCCAACACTAGGGGCCTGAACCACAGTCACACCCAGAGAGCATTCTTTCCTAAGCACAGCTCTGTTGCAAAGGAAGTGTACCAGGGCATGGATGTCACTTGTAAAGTGCAACTGTTGCCAATGTGTTACCAAGCACCTTTAGAAAGACACAAATAGGTGACCAAATACCATAGGAGAAATAAAGCAGAACTCTAGACTTTCTAAAAATGGAAGCATATTTTGAAACTATTTTGTCTGAGGCAATTGAAGAGAAAGTACTGAAGATCAGGAGGCTACATTAAAGAGACCACAAGAGACTGTTAACAGTCCAGGCTTGGATGGACAAGGGACTTCCATCTCTGGGTCTAAGGTGGCTGTTCCCTGCTGCCATCAAGACAGGAAAAGATGAAGCTAAGTCCAGTAGCCTTCCCTTATGGACACCTTTATTTTGCACAGTTTCAGTTACTCAGTGCTTAACTGCAGCCTGGAAATATTAAGCGGGAAATTTCAGAAATTAACAATTCATAAGTTTTAAATTCCAAACTCTTCTATGTGGTTAAATCTTGCAACGTCCTGCCCCCGTCCCACAGGGACATGACTCATCTCTTTGTCCAGTGTATCCACTCTACATACACTACCTACCTGTTAGTTTCTTAGTAGCAGTCTTGGTTATCAGATCAACTGATAACTGATAGCAGTGGTTGAGTTCAAGTGACTCTTACTTTTCTTAGTAGCAAGAGCAAGAGCAGTGATGCTGACAATTCAGATATACCAAAGGGAGCCGCAAAGTGTTTCTTTAAGTTATCATCTCAGGTCCTCACAAGAAGGATGAAGTATTTTGACAGAGACCACATTCACTTAACTTTTCTTACAGTATATAATTTTCCTATTTACTATTAGTTAATGTTTATTATTATAAATAAATTATTATAAATTATAAGTAATTTATAAAATAAACTTTATCATAGGTGTATGTGCGTACAGGGAAAAAACATAGTATAGATAAGGGTACCGTCCCCGGTTTCAGGCATCTCCTGGGGTCTTAGAACATGTCCTCCATGGATAAAAGAAGACTAGTGTATGTTCTATCAAGGGAGAGACCTAGAAAAATGCCCTATGTAGGTTCTACTCATGTCCCACTGGCCACATGAGCAGCAAAAGGGATGGGAAAATGTGACCTTTCACTGCGCCCATACCCAGTTACAATTTTATTACTATGTACAAAGGAAATTACAGATACCTGAGACACAATTGGCCACAGAGTCTTTCGGTTTTTTACTCTTAAGCCAAAGCTTCATTAATCTAAGATCAAATTTCACAGTTCTAAAGTATGATAGATTTCACAAGAAATAGTGGGTACCTCATACAAACTGAAGACTGTCTTTTCACATGAACTGCTGGGAGCTATTGCTAAGTAAGTCTTCAGAATAGAAAGATATTTTAAGTATGAAATTGTGTATATATGACAATTACAGCCACGTTAAATCTACAAGGGACTGTGGAACATTTGTAATCTGTATGTATTAGTATGTAAAACTATGAGAGATTATTTGAAAGTTTTGTGTTCACATGGATAGCGATGGAAAAAGTATAAAACTGTGTTCAAGGTGAACACAGGTCACTTTAATTTTCTATAAACCTTTTCAGCATTAAGTAGAGGTTTTTTCCAGTGGTACTTGAGTTTGAACTC